AGAGGACTTCAACTTCCAGAATTCCCCAGCAAGCTTTGCTGGATGGGGAATTATGGGAGTTGAAGTCCGCCAGGCTTAAAGTTCTCAAGGTTGGAGACTCCTGATCTAGATAGCACCAAAGAGAGGCAGTAAACAAACAGACAAACAGTGAAAGCAGTGAAGAAGCAGTCTAAATAAATAAATACACTAATATTTTGCTGACAGCTCAGGTGTTTTGCATCCAGATATTTGCAACTCACAAATAGCAGGAGATTAGTATTGCTGTACATGTATTAAAATGTAAACATGTATTTAAAGGGCACCTTTCAGTTCCTCTAATGGGTGCATAGCAATTACTATAGAGGTTACTTTTACTCCCCCTTCCCTGCATACTCAAAGTTTAGCTTCAACAGTGCAGCGATAAAGGAACAACAGTTACATCATAAAGTGATACAGAATTATTTTGAAAGAAGAAAAAAAATTAGGAAAACCTTCATTAACAGGTACAGGGAGAAATTGAGGAAGGTGTATTTGTAAAAATCAGATTAGAGAAAGAGAATCATCTTTGCACAGTATTTCTTCAAAGTGTAATGACTGCAATTCCCATTATTCTAAGACTGGTTGTGTATGATGCCACATAAAATATGAGATCTCTGCAAAGTGCCAAATAAAAGCTGGCTCTGCCATAACTTTTTGGAGACTAAAACATACATTTCTATATGTAATCTACAAAAAAAAATGCTGCTCTGTTTTGCTTTGTTTTTATTTTGAACTTATTACAGAGCAGACCATCACAATTCCTCTCTGAAAGCAACTAAACTATAGAGGTTGTAATTTCCTTTTGAAATTACAATAGGAAGTAGAACCCCACAATTTCATAGCATCTGCTATTTACTTCAATCATGAACTCTGGATATCTTTCCATGGCTGTCCTGCTAAGTCTTTAAGAGCTTTATGGACCAAACTGTAATAGAAACTGCTGTACAGCCTGTCCATTACTGCTAAGGGTTCAAAGTGAGGAGGTGATAAGTATGAATAAAATCAAGGAAACAAGGCAATAACCAAGTTCCCACGATGCCTCCTCTTTTGCCACTTCTCTGAACTCTAGCAGCAAAAAATTTGTTGCCAGGTCAGGGAAACAGATCTGCTGATATAAGGCCAATAAAAACTGGGCAGAACTAATCCCTTGACTTCATCTACCCCAGCATCATCACAAGCGTATTTAGATAACAGGAAAATGTTACTTTAAACTGAGACAGCTTACTCCAAATAGAAGACCTCTTTACAATGGGCTGAGCATGAGATGTTCTATGCCATTATGAATTTCATCTGGTTTTCTACCTGCCTCCTGAAGAGGTATCACATGGTCTTTGCTGAGTTTCTTTTAAAGTTATTTTTTCTCAGTTTTGTAAAAATTAAGTAAACATTTTATTAAAATTATAGTTGTAATTTTGAGACTATGACGTTTTTGCTTCAACAATACTTCTTAAACACTTAAGAAATTTCTTATATTTCATGGAGTATAATAAAATAACTATCATGCATGTTGAACCAGTTTGNAGAACCAAATGCATTTTATTTATTTGAAATTATTTATATATTCAAAATAAAATATAATAGATGCAAAATACTTATAGTAATATTACATAACTCCCATGGCAAAAATATAAATTTCTAAATTTTGGGCTATAGCTAGCTAAGTCTTTTTTAATCTTATTTTTGGGACTTTTTTCACTCCCCCTTGAAGAATTCCTGTACTAACGATGGCCCAATGGGCAAATTCAGCATTTTTTTTTAATTATGGAAGGCCTTATTCCATAAAGCAGAATTGCTGGATGCCACATATGCATGATTTCTACAGATTAAAATGATTTAATCAAGATTTCAAAAAAGATCACAACATTCTACCAACCTGTTTAAGACTCCCATATGCCTTTTGATGAATCATTTGATAATGGTAATTATAAATGATTGAATGCAGAAGGCTCTGTTCTGCAACCAGCATTTTGCTGTTTAACATGCTGTCAACAGCCCCACACTTCTTCAAAGCAGTTGAAAGGCATCTCACTAGAAAATATAAAAACATGCATGGATAGGAAGATGCAAAAATTCACTCAATAAACCAGTAACAAAGTAAGTTCTCAAATTCCAGTATCAGTTAGTTCAGTTGTCACCACATCTCTTTTTATATAAATGTAATGTACATCCCCTTAAAAATAATCTGAGCACAAATAAACAATGACAATAAAATACAATATTAGGAAAGATAGATGTATTGTAACATTGTACAACTAAAAAGTTCTTTCATCTTCCCTACATATTCTGTCAGTATCTCTTCAAGAGAGGTACACTTAATAGTTTGGGAAACCCAGAATTAGTTGTCTGCAGGAGATTAGCAAAGAAGCTGTAGTATTCTGAATTATAAAGAAAATTTTTCCTTTCAGCAATTCATTTGAGTTCTGTCCAGGATCTTGTATCCTTCCGCTACTTTGCTTACTTCCTGGCATGGAATTCCAGATACTTGCTGCATATATAGCTACTGTTTTTTTTGCATGGCACATTTATGTATGTTTAATTAAACCATGGTTCATTCAATTAATCCAATTTTCTGTCCTTGCATTACAGTGGACTGTATCATCAAAAGCTGACCATGCAGTAGGATAGTAGAATGTGGTTACTTCCCCCACCTTATTTATCCCTCAAGTTAAGTCCAGTTTAGTCAATTATCCCCATATTAATCATCGTTTGAAAAAACTAACAGTATTAAGTCATCCAAGTTAAACACTTCTAAGACACTAGTTTAACATTAAGAAAGGAAGATGTTTTCCCTAAAATCAATCAGAAACAAATTGCAATCCCATACAGGCAAAAAATGTAAGATTTTATTAACGGAATGAGCTATCTTCCTTTTTATTTTACAATCGTACGCATATGGTATGTAATATCAAGATCAAATCTGCTGGATAATAACTTAGTCCCACCACCAAAAAGCCTGTCAGTTAAACGACATTTCCTAACTAATAATAATAAAAAGACAAGACAGGAAAGTCCTCAGCAAGCGTGCTTTTATCTATCACTCAAATTTAACGCGGAATGCAAAGATGTTCCGCTTTATCCCGAGATAAAGCGTCCCGCATTCAAATCCCTCTGTTAACCTGAAGCATGTTCAGCCGGCACGACTTCGGCCGAATTACAAGCAGGCCAAGGCACGTCCCACCGGTTCCACACAAACTCGCCGGCTCCGGCAGCCGCCATCTTTGCCTGGCGGGGAATCCCGGATTAAAAGATGTCACCGGAAGGAGAACGATTGACGGACGACTCCTCCCCCCAATAGGGCGAGGGAGAACACAAAAGGGGATTCCTTTAACCTCTCGTCTTCTGATTCGCTCTTCCGTCGGAGAGGCGGGACCTGGAAGCGCGCTTTAATTTGATCCACGGGGAAGGCTATTGTGGCGTATTTTCTCTTCGTTTCACGCTCGCCCCTTTTTCCTCTGTCGAAGTATTTCTGTTCTTGATAGCTTTAAGACTTGGGGACTTCAACACCTCCCCCCCAAAATATCAAGAGTGAAAAATGTTGCTCTGTTGATGTTGGTGTAGGAATCGTGACGACCAAGTAGATCAGGGGTCTCCAACCTTAGCAACTTTAAGCCTAGAGGACTTTAACTTCCAGAATTCCCCAGCAAGCTTTGCTGACTGGGGAATTCTGGGAGTTGAAGTTCGCCAAGCTTAAAGTTCTCAAGGTTGGAGACTCCTGATCTAGATAGCACCAAAGAGAGGCAGTAAACAAACAGACAAACAGTGAAAGCAGTGAAGAAGCAGACTAAATAAATAAACACACTAATGTTTTGCTGCCAGCTGAGGTATTTTGCATCCAGATATTTGCAACTCACAAATAGCCCGAGATTAGTATTGCTGTACATGTATTTAAAATGTAAACATGTATTTTTGAGACTATGATGTTTTTGCTTCAACAATACTTCTTAAACACTTAAGAAATTTCTTATATTTCATGGAGTATAATAAAATAACTATCATGCATGTTGAACCAGTTTGTTGAATAAATTGCAATTAGCATAATCAAATAGGCTAATATATAAATGATGGTTTATTTATATATTTATTTAATATTATGAATTCCCATAACATTTTAAGTTACGAAGAAGTAGATGTTTGAAATTAGATTACAAGTATGTATGCAAATTAATGTAAGAAATTTCAGGTGTTGGATGAATGTAGGGTTTATCAAAACTAAAATTATTTTAATAAATAAATAATTCTATAAGATACATCCAGCTATCTATCTATTCCTCTATAGAAAACTGTTGCAGAGATCTCAGCTTTTATAAATAAATTGACCTTGATTTTTTCATCCAAGCAAAATTAATACTGTATAGAGTAACTCTGTATAGAGTTACTTTCCCTTTAAGACATGCATCCACATTTTCTCTAAACAACTAAACCTGAAAAGACCATATCAAAGGATATAAATTAGACACAATGAAAGTCCTTGTTGAGTTGTAAAGATTTCACTTAGTACTATGAAGAGGGGAAGAAGGACAAAGCCCGCAATTACAATGGTTAATACAATGGATATCACTAAGGTCTCTCTAGCTCAGTTTCTAAGATTTTATAAACAGCCCATAAGTGAAGAACAAGCCTGGGCTATTTGCTTTCACTGTTGTTGTAAAATGAAACAGATATTAGCTCAGGGACTGGATTCTGTAGTACAGATGAAGATTCCAGATATTGACGAACTCTATATTCATTCAGATGGTAGTATATCTTTCACTATCAAACATAACTATGGTAAGAATTTACAACAAAAATTACTGAAGTCACTCTTTCCATTTACAACTATGTGTTTCTACAATTTCTTAGTTTCCTTAATACTTCAATGTATTATGAGCTACCTTATTTAAGATGTTAATTTTTAATGTATGTACCTGGAAACAATCACCTCACAGTCTGTGAGTAAATAATGGGAAATAGAATAAGTCAAAGGATTTAAGATCATTGCAAATATTTCTCTGTGACTACAAATTATGAAATTTTAATGCAGTAGTATTTACATCATCTAAATTTATTTATTTTTCTTTCTTAAATAAGAATTCCAAAATCTAATTCTGTTGAATTGTTAAGAGATCTGAAGAAAAATTAATGTATTTATAGTAGAGGAAAATGCTTATTAAATATGAGCAACTCCTGTTAATTCAGATTTGAATATTTGCTTTTAATGTAATCAAGGCAGAGGTTTGTACCTGTATTTCTACATTCAGATTTGTTGATAATGACAGACTATTGTTTGAAGGACACCACTGAGTAAGAACAGGAGAGTTAAAAGTATTTTAAAAACCTTTATTTCTTCTCTTAAAATGATAGGTATCTGATAAATTTTTCCCTTTGAAAAATATCTCTAGAAGACTTGAAGTTTTATATATTGTCTTAAATCATAGGAACAAATTATACTGGTTATGTTATATATAAACTTTAATAAAACACTGGAGTATGCACTATATATTGAAAAATTGGAAATCTATCATCACACTTAAAAGCTAGAAAAATGTGTGTATTCTGATAATGTATTTATGCTGATTTATAGAAATAATTATTATAGAAGTATAGGACACCTTCCCATAATAACTAGGGAACATGTGCCTATCCAATTTGCTAGCCAAGTAAATTTAACATCTCTGTTCTAAGGTCTATCTTTAAACCAGACTCTGTAAACAGAAGATAGTCCTCTATAAAATACATGACTATCTTCATCCCATTACTTTTTAAAATATTATAATCCTATATATCAGCCTACTTCAGTCTAAGTTTTCCAGATGCATTTGACTATCATGTACCAGCAATATGGGCATGAAGGGAGAAACAGCAGACTAAGAAAGGATGGTATCTGTAGTCTAGAGGAAGTGATGAATGTTGATATTATAGTGCTCTTCCCTCCCCCATATTCCATTTGACAAAAGAAAGGTTTTCCGATCGATCCACAGTGGAATATTTTGATTAACAACTAGGGTTATGATCCAGAGTGCTGTTCAGCTGTCTTTTTTTAAATAACCAGGAGTCAATATATTATAAATATCTTCCAGGGTCACCCTGAACATGCAAATTAAATTTAAATTGATGAAAACATTTGTTTCAGATGGTTACATCAATCAACAGCCAAGAGAGATTTTAGAAGATAAGGTAAGATTATAGTGTGTTGGAAGAAATGCCCTTCTGGGTTCAGCTCCAAGTGGGGGAAAAGACTGGAGACCTGGAGGCTGCTTGGAAAGATGGCTTAATGGAGGACAGGACCACATGGCTTGAGTCCTGAACAGAAAATGTGATCACATGCTTCAATGTTGGGTGAAGAAGAGAATAAAAAAGGCTTGCTGGGTTTTTTATATTCTGTTCAGCCCCACCTCTCTGTTTCCTGTTCCTGTGTAAGAAATGTATTCTGATTGGATGTCAGACTCCCATGGGGCCATGCAGGGGTAACTCTCTAGGCTGTGTTTTGAATCCAGGTTTGGTTGAGTTTTCAGATGCATTGTGGTCAGTTGGGGCCAATATAATCATGCTTTCCTGTAGCTGAAGTGGAGAAGTCTTTATTATGTAAAGTGGACTAGCTTGGCCTTCTTAATGGCCCATTAACAAAGTGGGGATGGGCAGGAAGCTACAGGCAGCTATTCTGTCTTTTAAAACATGTTTCTTTCTTTTCACATCCAGAGAAATATTCTGCTTTTTCAATATTTCCTAGGATATTTCATTTTTCTAGGAGAGGGGTGAGTGCTAGCTTCCTACAGGTGCTTGACACAATTGATGGCATACTTTTGACATTCGCAAAATAATGTAGTGATTTGGTATGACTATACTTAGGTTAGGCTGTTAGATAATTCATTTATCTTGGATTGGATTTCATTCTTCTTGTAACCATGAATAAATATCTGTGATTTTCATGGACTTGTCTTCATTAGTGATGGCCCATGTAGCATTATGGCAAAAAAATCTAATGGAATAGCTAAAGCTGAGAATATTTCCACATCCATAATATTCCCACTTCTCTGTTTTTATACAGTTGATGGCAATCATTGTTATGTTCATAATTCTCAAATCTAAGAAATATAATCTGATCAGCATCCTATTCATACTTACTACTGGGGAATAAAATTCCCTCCCCTTCATTCTATGGACCCTTTTGCTCTTTTTCTCCAATAAAACATTTTTCAGGAGCCGTGGTGGCACAGTTGTTAGAATGCAATACTATAGGCGAACTCTGCCCACTGCTAGGAGTTTGATCCTGATTGGCTCAAAGTTGACTCAGCCTTTCATCCTTGGGGTTGGTAAAATAAGGGCCCAGATTGTGGGGGACAATATGCTGATTCTGTAAACCACTTACAGAGTGCTGTAAAACACTATGGAGTGGCATATAAGTCTAAGTGCTATTGCTATTTCATGCAGAATAGAAGCATATATTAGTTGGTAAAAGGAAAAACTGTCAAGCCATCATGTCATTATTCTGTTGCATTTTTTAAAGCAATAGAAACATATGTTATTAGAAGAGACACTAAATTGAATCCACGAGCTGGGAAGTGGAATCAATCAAGAGCTCTTGCCAACAGAAAAAAATGCCTGGCCACAGAGTTTCAGTGTTGAAAAAGAACCACCAAAGCAAGCATGACTTTTGCTTTGATTTCAGATATGTCACAGCAGATTCAAGAAAAAAAAACTCCAGCTCATGTTTCTATAATAGTACAGATCTAGAACTGATTCTGAATTGTCATAAAGTCCTCATGAAGAGGAGCATCAGAGTTCAGTCAATGATTTCGGATATAGGTTATCTCAAGACTGGATTATTGTAACAAGCTCTATGAGGGTGTGCTCTTGAAATGATTTCAGAAGAGGCAGATTACTCAAGGCAATTCCATGCTGTATATTGAACACTTGGACTAGTGGCACTGTACCTGCTGCTTAATCCTTTCTGAATATCTTCAAGACATTATTGGTGTCTTATAAGAAAACTTGGAAGTAGGGATACAAAACCTTCCTTCTAGTTTAACCTTATTGTGTGGCTGATTATACTCTTTGGCAGTGGAGTAGATGGGATCTCAGTGAAATAGTTTCCTCTCCCAGTTGATAGTAGGATATCCCCATGCTCTAACCATTTTCTTGTTTTAACATTGCCAGCTGCCTCAAGTTACTGTTCTAGTTAATTAATGTTTTATTACTTTTAGTTTTGTATTTGTTTTTATTGATAATTTTGTTTTAAAAATGCCTAGACAGATGAAAATCAATAGCTAATTTCTTCTGAAACAGTCACCCAGGAAGCCATTTTTTGCTATGTATTGATTTTGACAAAACTGTCCTAGATTTTCAGAATTGACTAATCACTCAGTATTTACTTTCTAGTTGACAGAATCATTAGGAAAATTGATCTACACAGCTCTGGACTGGGGAATCGAGAGCCATATGGAGAGAGAGCTGAGTGAGTCCCTGTCAAAGCTAATAACATTTATGCTCAAACTGAACTCAGAGACTTCAAACACTGCAGTTGCTTTACAGGATGTAATTAAGGTATTGTGTGTTTCACATAATTTATATCTTTAGCCATTTGTTCTCAATGATCTTTGGATGAGTTGAAAAAATAATGTTACACATTCCGTATAAAGTATGTTTAAAGAAAAACAGAGGTGGAACGAATCTGTCTAAAGTAGGACGTAAAGTGAGATTTGGACATTAAGTGTGAAACCTATTGGGTCAGGTTGGACAGCCTCTCAGGGGCCCCTTTACTTTTATATAAAAAAGCCATATAGGCAGAATTGTAGCTTGCAAAAGAACAGGAAGCAAGTGCCTAACCACAGAGTTCAATAGTCTC